TACGAATCTTGGTTTATTTTTTATTTTTATTTTTTATTATTTTGGAACGGGTACTAACTGTTCCTTTCTTTTATTTTATAGGTTCGGGTGGGCTTCCAAGTTCTGGAGAACGGAAAAAGATCAAGATTCGTAGGTATATACGAATCTTGGTTAAATTTTTTTATTAATATTAATGAACGGTTACTAATAATCGTTCTTTTCTTTTTTTTATAAGTTTGGGTGGATTTCCGACGAATGGATGAACCAAAACCAAGATTCGTAAGTACGAATCATAGTTTATTTTATTATTATTATTTTATTATAATTTTGAATTGCCAATATTTATTTGTAATTTAGATAGATGCTAATAATAATAATATAATTATAAAGTTTTTAAGCATCTAATTAATAAATACATTTAATAAATTTGATAATAAAAATTGAAATAAATTCAGAAAAAAATAGTCTGATTTTTGTTCGATTTAAGTTCTGAAGTACATCTGATTGACTGTCCGAATTTAGTATGATTTAGTTCTGATTTATGTCCGATTTAAGTTCTGAAGTACATCTGATTGGTAGTCAATTGGATAACAATCGGAATATATTTTTTTGTAAAAATCGGACATATTTCAGCCATAATTCGACCTAAAATCGGATGTCCGATTTTTAGCCGATTTGCCTTATTTCAACTAGTGTAGTATCCTATTTTAAAGCAATACTAAGACCTACTGTACTGCTAAAATAGAAAACAGTTTTCTATTATACTTGTAATACTATTATAGTATAACTAAAATTTATTAGTTAAATTCACTATAATTTTTATAGGATTCTTCCATCCTTAACAAAATGGCATATTGGATTACACCAATTGGATTTAAACTAAATATCTGAGATTTATGATTACTAAAAACCAAATTAAGTGCAATATAAAACATTACTATCTACTATTGAATGTAAGGGGAGTTACATATATTACGTAATATTCAGTTTAATATAAACTTACCCCCCTCTTGTCAGATTTAATAACCAATCAAATTATAATATTTATAAATTATATATTTTATTAAGTGTAATGTAAGATTTTGGTTACCCCTCCCCCTTTAATAATTACGTAATATCTGTAAGAGAAGTGGCATATATTATATTTTACTATGAATTCTACCCCTCCCCCCTTTGTCAGATTTAATAACCAATTAAATTTAATTATACAATTTATATAAATAGAATAAGTGTAACATCAGATTTTAATTATCTCCTTCCCCTCTAATAATTACGTCATATATGTCACTTCCTTAAACTCCCTAATATATTCTGAAGAATTTTTTTTTTTTTTTTTTTTTTTTTTTATTTATTATTTATTAGTACTGTTCATATTACTCATTTCTGCTCATACGATAATCATTTGGACTGGACTAGTATGGAAGTTTTACGTGAATAGCACGCTGGTTACGTTAGTCTCTACTTTAGATTGAGTTCTAAAGTTTTTATATGGAGAGGTGTAGTTAGAAATAACTAGCTTCAATGTATTTTTATGTATTTACTAGTCAATGTAATGCGTTACGATTGCTAATAAAATGATTTAAATACGTTTATAAAAAAAAAAAAAAAAAAT